ATTATATATTTGAATGAATGTTATTCCCAATAAAACTTTTGATCCAAAAGGCAGTTATTGTGGAAACAAATTTGCAATATTTCAATGTAAACGAGAGAAAATAGGTACAATTTACATTTAAATAATAGATTTCTTGATAACGGTTTCTAGAAATTGCAACGTTTCCTCACAGATGGCAAGGTGGACCTTATTTGTGAATTTAAAGCTTCGACCAAAGCTCATTAGGGAGGTTTGGTATTTTTTGTAAATACGTATCTAACATGATCAATTAACGTAATTAGCTATTCATTTATGCAATAATTGACTCTAAACGTTTCAAAATTAATCGTTTTTCAGCAATTTGCTAAGAATAAGAGTAACACACATAAAGTACACCATGAAATTTGGTTACTGCATTCTCGCTTCAATAGGATTTGCGGAATTTTTGTTTAAAACTTTTAATTTTTATACAACAGTCATAATGGAAGGAATAGAATTACGTCGTTTTCATAACCTGGTTGCTTTTAGTGCGGAACGTTATTTCAGCTTTAATGGTATTTTTATGCGCTTTTCCATACACAGTTTATTCGACAAGTACGAAATATCGAAAATTTTGGAAAATTTCGCAATGAATTATAAGTAGGTACTTGGATGCTAGAAAAACATAGTAACTGTAAAAGTTTTTTGAGCAAACAAAAATTATGGAGTTGTAAAGTTATTTACGTAAAAAGGAAAGCAGCTTTGTATAATATAAAGTGAGTAGCTGCGGTAATAAATACGGTGAACTCAATTTTCCGTGAGTGCAGAGTGAATGAGAACGGAGAAGTGATGTATCGTTTTAAGTTCAGGTCTGGCACGGCTCCTTTACTCCTCAGTGGGAGCTTTGTACACCATCTGCTCTTGTTGAAATTGCTTTATCTATAAATTCGCAACTTCTATTTTAATCAACTTAATATGGGGGGAGTGATACTGTATTGTATATAAAATACAAATTTTCGTGCAGAATAATTCTTTTCTCACCTACAGAACTACCTATACGCACATATCTTAATTTTTAATAATAGTGAAGCGGTATAAATTACTTATCCAAATAAATGAATTCTGTTAAACGAAGTATGTGCCGTTGCTGTTGTGCTTTGAATAATAAATGCAACACCTACTATTCTTCAAGTAAATCGATTAGAAGTTAATTTGTTTTTTTTGGTAGTATCGAATAAATAAATCAGTTAGTGGCTCTGCGATTAATTATTTACACATTCACTGAGTGGTTTGCACCACTCTTGGTTTGTCAAACTCGAGGTCAAACTCCATATGAAATCTATACTGGAGACGGCAGACCGTCTTGGGCTGGCATTGTTTGCGTTATATGGGAGAACAAAAGGTTAAAAATGACTTACCTACTCCCACAACCTGTGGGCCCAAATCATCGCTCAAAGGCAGTACGAGTACAAGTACTAGTTGCAAATTACATGTGCGGCAAAATAGGTAGTAATAGCGCCAGTAGCCTTAGAAAGGATCTCTTGCATTCAGTAATTATGGAAAAATAGAGAACACGAAAAAGTTAGTCAAACACAATTATCAATGAATTAAACAAATATAGCAAACGAGCTCCTGGGTATGGCTATAGCATGTGCAAAACCACATTTTGAACCTGGCGCTACATTTGCTTTTATTCCAAGTAGTTATGTATCAAATTTCATTAAAATCCCTCCATAAAAATAGAAAGTTGGCACTGCGCATGCGCAAAACAAAATTTTGAAACTGGCGTTAAATTTGCTTTTATTCCAAGTGGCTATGTATCTGTGGAAAATCCCGTGAATAATCAAGGGTAGCAAAAAAGAAGTAGGCGGGAAAAATAGGAAGATCGAGAATTATTGATATTAGCGTAGTAACGTATTGTACCTACGTATTTGTTTTGTGAATCGTTTAATTCATTGATAAATAAAGCACTATTAAAATACCGTGTTTTACCAATTGTCGATGCTTTTTTTCATGGTGCCGAAACCCGGGAAAGAGGAAAGTGAATCGTGGAACTTTAATAACGGACAATTCGGTTTCTAACGGACGTGCCGGTATTGACAGTTAAAGTGTAAAAATTTGATTAACGTCATAACGTGAACTGTTTGTCAAAAATAGTGCATTAACGGAAGCATATTATCATGAATCAAGCGCTAAAGAAAACGTATCGGACGCAGCTAACGAAACTTGTGGATCGGGCTAACGAAATGTCTGATGATAACGCGCCGGTTGACCACAAGGAAGCTATTGTTTTAATTAACAGACTGAAATCGGTGAACGACTCGTTAAAGCGCGTAAATATTGAAGTGGCAAGTCAGATACCCGTCGATAAGGTTCAATCAGAGTGCGAGAAAATTATCGAATACGAAGATAAGGCGGTTGCAGCGATTGCCAGGTTGGAATTCGAACTATCAGGCGCGGGTGGAAAATATGCAGCCAGCATCGCCGACGCCGAAGAAGACGGGGGGTCCATTACAGCCGAAGGACGTGCAGCCAGAGCAGCTTCTACAAGGGCAGAAACCAAAAGGGCGGTGAGATTACCCAAATTAGAATTAATAAAATTTAACGGTGATTATAAAATGTGGCCTGCCTTTTGGGAGCAGTTCGAGACTGCTGTTCACAATAATAACGATCTAGGGGAATCTTCTAAGTTTACATATTTAAAGTCTGTTTTAACTGGAAATGCTTCAATAACCGTTCAAGGTTTAACGTCCAGTAGTTCAAGCTATAAAGATGCAGTTGAGCTTTTAAAGGAGCAGTACGGAAATAACGAAAAAATTGCCGATAACTACACTCAACAGCTGCTAGCTTTAACTCCAGTCAAAACCAAAAATGATGTAGTTTCATTGAGAAAATTATACAATACAGCTTCAAAAATAACGCGATCTCTGCAGACGCTGGGAGTGTCTCCACAAAATTATGGGATGATGGTGAAATCTATTTTATTAAAAGCACTACCCTTTACTATGAGAACTGAATTCCTCAAACGACAGGTTACAACTAATGATAATGATGATAACGAGTCTGTTGCTGGAAGTGTCATAAGTTCTAAAGAAATCTCATATGAACATCAAATTTCTCAACTTTTAAACTTTATTAAGTTAGAAGTAGAATCAATTGAACAGGCTAAAGTTTTGGAAGATGAGCCTAAAAGTAACGAGAAAAATTCAGTTCACAAAAATAGATTTCAGAAATCTAGTGATAAAACGTGCACAGCAGCAGGTTTGCTTACATCTGTAAAAGAACAGTGCTTGTTTTGCAACTCTAACGATCATGGCGCGATGGATTGTGATAGCAAAATAACGCTGGCGCAAAAGAAAGAGATTTTAAAATCTAAAGGGTGCTGTTTCCGATGTACCAAGTCGAATCACAATTCAAGGTTTTGTCGAGTAAATGTATCTTGCGCAAAGTGTAAAGCGAAACACGCAACGTCTATGTGTGATCCAGATTATAAGAAGAAATCTGCAACTGTAACTGAATCCACGAAAAATGACGCATCGAGTAGTAAATTTGAGTCGACAAATTTGTTAGCGAACGGGTGCTTAGGCAAAATAATTTATTTACAAACCGCTTGTGCACAAATAATAACGAACAGTGGCGTACCTAAGAGTTTTTTACGTATGGTTATAGATGGAGGTAGCCATTTAACTTTTATCAAAGAATGTGTGTCACGAAAGCATAACTTACCTGTTATAGGGACACACAAAATATCGATAATGCCTTTTGGAAAATCTGAAAGGGCTCCGGCTCGCTTATGTCGAAAAGTATCATTAACGTTGAAAAGCGAGTATATTAACGATGAGGTGACTATCAACGCGATTGAAGTGCCCGAAATTTGTTTTGATTCATTGAGCGCACCGTCATTAAAAGAACCATTGATACATGAGTTCAGCATAAATTATCGATTAGCGGATTTGTGCGACTCTAACGTTAACGTTCATCATGGAATATCGCTTTTAATTGGTTCTGATTTTTATTGGAAGATAGTGACCAATAACACGAAGAAAATCACTGAAGACTTGATGGCGATCGAAACCAAATTTGGTTGAACAATTCACGGTGTAGGCAGCGGACATTTTAACGAATACGCGTTTTCGGTCGGGATTAACGTGGCGAACATTTTACACGTACAGTGCGAGCTCGATTGTGAGACTGTTGGTAACGGGTTAGAAAACTTTTGGACTCTTGAAACAATCGGGATAAACAATGATAACGTGACGGACAAATCTCATACAAAACACTTTTTAGATGAGAATATAACTTTTGAAAACGATAGATATTGTGTTGCCATGCCTTGGATAGAGCCAAACGTACGGGTTGATTCTAACTTTAACGGTGCCTTCAATAGGCTAAAGTCATTAACGCGCAAACTCAACGAACGCGGCAAACTTCGGGAATACGATTGTGCGATGCGTGAATACATGAACAATGATTGTGCCGAACTTTTACCGGAAGTGACAAATGACATTCGAATTTATTTTATGCCGCACCGGGCGGTATATCGGGATGACAAAGACACTTCAAAATTAAGGATCGTGTTTGACGCGTCGGCGCACGCCCCTGGTATGCTTTCGTTAAATGACGTACTTTTGCAAGGCGAAAATTTAGTGCCGTTTCTTTTACGAATTTTAATGAACTTTCGTGTCGGACGAGTTGCATTTACAGCCGATATCGAGAAAGCTTTCTTGCAAATCGCTATAGCAGAACGCGATCGTAATTCTCACAGTTTTTTGTGGTATAGCGTTCCTATTGATGACGTCAATAATCTTCCACGAATATCAAAATACCGAATGAAACGTGTAACGTTTGGGATTAAGTGCAGTCCCTTCTTGCTGGCGGTTACACTTAAGAAACTTTTACAATCGCAGCCGGAAAATCTAGCAGACACTTGCGAAATTTTGAGGTCTTCATTCTATGTGGATGACTTGGTAGTAGCAGTTGATAACGTAACTCAAGCCGAACGTATTTACTAAGAGTCCAAAGAAATTTTAGCTAAAGCTAATATGAATTTACGTAAGTGGAACAGCAATGACGTTTCGCTCAGAAAATTGATGAAACGCGAGGAAAACGTTAATGCCAAGAAAGTACTTGGAATTTTATGGTACCATAACGATGACGAGTTAGCAGTAGATATAACTTCAGTTTTATATGAAATCGATAATAAATCTATAACGAAACGTGGGGTGCTACAAATAGTATCGAAAATTTATGATCCACTTGGCTTTATGAGTCCCTTTTTGGTAAGAGCAAATAAGATATTGCTCCAAGAAATTTGGAAACTTAAGGTCGACTGGGATTCAACCACACCTGATAATATCACCAATGAATGGTTGAGATGGTGTTTTGAACTGAAATCTTTGAAACATTTTTCGTTTACCAGATGTGCACTCGAAGACAGAAACTCCGAAGTTTCACTTCACATTTTTGCGGACGCGAGCCCAAAGGCGTATGGAGCAGTGGCGTATCTCAGAGTAGTTAACGAAAACGAAGTCGAATGTAACTTTATCATGTCTAAGGGTAGAGTAGCTCCAATTGACAAAAAGGGAGATAAGAGCTTAACGTTACCAAAACTGGAACTCACCGCGGCAGTCTGTGCAACTCGACTTCAGAAATTTATACTTGAAAATATTGACGTTAAATTTCATTCCTGCACTTTGTGGACAGATTCGAAAATAACGATATATTGGATCATGGGCAAAGCTGACAGGTGGAAACCGTATGTTCGCAGTCGTGTAACTGAAATTAAGAAGAACTCAGTTGGAGTATGGCGCCATTGTCCAGGGGCAGAGAATCCAGCAGATTTACTAACGAGGGGTGTAACATCTAAAGGTCTTATGACATCGGAAGTTTGGAAACATGGACCTAATTGGCTGAAATTTAAACCAGAAGAATGGCCTGAAGAAGATATCGCGATAGGATCTGAAGCATCTGTTTTGCTCGTACAAGGAGAAGAAGTAATCCAGAATAACGAACCAATCTTCAAACTTGAGAGATTCAGTAGTTTGGAGAAAATCTTTAGCATTACCGCTTATGTTAAAAGATATTCCCATAATCTAAGAAATAAAAAGAACAAAAGAACTGGAAGCTTGAAGGCTCAAGAGTTAAAGGAGGCTGAAAGATATTGGATAAAGGTAACTCAAGGACAGCATTTTTCAAGTGAAATAGCTGACCTAAGAAGAGGTAAAAAAATTGAACCCTCTTCTCGAGTTTTAACGCTAAGTCCCTTTCTTGATGAAGACGATATAATGAGATTAGGAGGCCGTTTACAGGAAAGCTCCTTACCGTACCAAACGAAATATCCTGTGGTGTTACCTAAAACGTCATTTCTAACGGATAAACTTATTTCGAACTCTCATGTTTCCACAATGCATGGTGGAGTAAACGTGACGATGGTACATATAAGAAAACGATTTTGGATTTTACAATGCAGGCAAAGAGTAAAATCTATACTGAGCAAATGCATAATTTGCAAGAGATTACGAGCAAAACCTGGCAATGAACCTTTTGCACCCTTACCAAGAAGTAGGGTGTCTTCAGCAGAACCATTTAAGGTAACGGGCCTAGATTTCGCTGGACCTCTATACATTATCAACGAATCGAGGCGGCAAAAGGCTTACATCATGCTGTTAACGTGTGCTGTGGTACGTGCCGTACATCTTGAAATAGTTCCTAATCTAACAGCAGAGAGCTGTATTAACGCATTTAGACGGTTCATTTCAAGAAGGGGAGTTCCGGATATCATTTATTCAGACAACGCGAAAACATTTAAGAGAACAGCTTTAGAATTGAAAGAATTATACAAAATAATTTGCACCGATAAATTTCAAAATTTTGTCACAGGACGTTGCATTGAATGGAGATTTATTGTGGAGCGCGCCGCGTGGTGGGGCGGATTTTGGGAACGAATGGTCAAAACTGTAAAAGATGCTCTAAAATTGTCACTTGGAAAGAAATCCCTTGATTGTGACGAACTACAAACCATCATTTCAGAAATTGAAGCTACGGTGAATATGAGACCGCTTACCTACTTGGATGATCAGCCCGAAAATTTAATGTTTTTGACACCAGCACATTTCCTTTTGGGTAGTAACGAATGTGGATTTCATATCAAC